CCTCCACGCAAAAGTAGCGCCAAACTCGAGAAACCCTTGTGAGGCAAAGATTGGGCAATCTTTGCACGAACCCCCTTTTTCTCCCTCCATCTTGTCTGCACTCTCCCTGTCAGCTGATACACCTGTCTGCTGTCCGTCCATACATCCCTCAAGCATGGGGCCAAGTGCTGGAGCCAGCACTACGCTGGCCGTGGCCCCCTACACCTCCTCCTGCTCTACCACCTTCACCACTGACCAGCCCCTGGTCGCTGCACGGCACTCACTTTTGCCTGAGGAGACACAGACAGCTAGCAGGTGAGAATCCTCACACTAGGACATCACCTGTGTAGCTATTTACAAGCTGTACTAAATTAGAAGACCTGACAATAGCCATGATTTGCACATATGTAACTGGGATGTGTTGTTGTTTTTAACTCTTTGGTTGCTGTGATAGTTTTGTTTCCTGCTGGTCCGGCTTGCTTCTCGTTGAATGCACTTGCATATATAAGTTCTGCCTTCTCATCCAAAGCGATTGGATGATTACTGCTGTAGTGCTCTTGGCTTTGCTGCACATTTATGTTATTCATCTCATGTTTCAGTTTGTGGTTGCCTATTGTATTTCTTTATTTCTTTATTCTCTTTTTGCTTTCTCACACTTTGCTGTGCCTAAATTTAGCCAGTTTTTCTGCTAAAGAGTCACATATGTAAACAGCACCAAAAAAGTGGTAAAATATGCATTTTTTCTAACCTTATTCACAAAAGTATTACATTTTTGTACTTTTGTCATGTACAAAAGTAAGGCAGGCAGCCAGAATCGTCATTGGTGTTGAGCATTAAACGTTTATGAGACTCAGAAATCAAAAGTCTGTTTTGTGTCCCAGCTGTTTTGGGGGTGAGGTTAGAATTTTCAGCGGGACTCAATGGAGCTCAAAGAAATTACACTGAAACTCGATCTGGACAGCTGCAGCTTTTCATGCTGTGCTCCAACCTTTATGTTAAATGTTCACATGCTGCATATCTTTCCTTCAAAGAGTGAGGTCTCAGATGTCTTAAACCTCTCTAGGAAATGCCAAGCTATCATTTGACTTGGACTTGGAAAACAGTTAGAAGCAGTTATGCTGAACCGGTGTGGAAATGCTAGTGCTCACCCCTTTGTTTTTCAGGCCTCACCCAGTGAAGCCAATAACCTCTAGCCAATCAGAGAAGAAGGAGGGTCGTTCAGTTCTGGAGAAGCTCAAGTCGACTATTAACCCTGGACGCAGCACTCATCAAGTGACAGCTGAACCTGAGAAGAGTCAGGTACTGTGAAAAATACTTTGTAATCTTACTTTGTCCAGTGATGATTATTAATTAAATAAATTCTCTGTCATATTGGGATGAGGAACTCTAGAGCAGCGGTCTCCAACCTTTTTTCCGCCACGGACCGGTTAATGCCCGACAATATTTTCCTGGACCGGCCTTTAAGGTGTTGCGGATAAATACAACAAAATAAAACCAGTACCGATACCAAAAAAAAGATTATTCATAACACACGGGAAAAGACCCAGGGAAACCGAATTAAAGATAAAAACGATAAAAAATAATGCTAAAAATTGATAAAACCCCTAAAAACCATAAATTTCACACCTGAGCCTCAACTCTCGCGGCCCGGTACCAAACGACTCACGGACCGGTACCGGTCCGAGGCCCGGGGGTTGGGGACCGCTGCTCTAGACCGTTTGAATAACACATCAGGGCAACACAGGAACAGTGCACCAGCTGCTTCCTAACACCCCCCTGTTAAACTGAAATCGCCTTCAACACTAGGAGAGAAATACTGATCCCATTACGCCTTCTAGGTGTGGCATAATTCTTTGACCTAGATAAGCATTGCACTTGAAGACAAGTGTGGAATTAATTTCATATCTGTAACTACTTACACGAGCATATTATTTGTTTCTGCAGGAGAGCTGTTCTCTTTTACATTTCTGCATCCTGTTTAAGTAAATATGAAATGTTTCAAACTGCAGAGGATTTAAAATCACAGTTGTACTCAAGCATTTCTCGCATCGGTGAAACTTAACTAGCAAATCAGCAATATTTTTTTTCTTTTTTAATATAACACTGGATAATGTCGCCCCATGTGTGGTCAGTTGTTGGTCAGAACTTGGCTCATAACAGTTACATTAGTTTCTAATTCACCATTTCAATTTTCAAAACACTGCACGAGTCTGACTTTGTGCAAACAGTGGAAGAATTAGGTCATTAACCTGCCATAGTAAATCACAGAAAGCCATTAGGTTTGTGACTGTTTAACGCTTCCATGAGCATTTATTGGCACCAGCAGTGCACGTGGTGCTAATAACTGCACTGCAGGACTGTTGTGATGACCTCACTGTTTCCTGTGACTCATGTCATTTTTTTTAACCACCTGCAAATGAAAATGTCCCCACTTTAACTTTTTAACGCAGGGATCTGTCAATCATCAATCGTTTCAATCACATTTGGCACAGAAAGAATAGTTCAACTTTCTTTCTGAGATGCTTAGAGAGCGCTGCCTGGAAATGTTTAGGTTAACGTAAACACAGTGAATCGAGTTCAGACTCTGACTTTCACTCTTTATGCTAAGCTAAGGTAAACACATTTGCTGTCACGCCCAGAAAGAATGTGAATTAATATAGTTATTTCCTCTAAATATGATTGTTTACAGGTATTTTTCACATATGAAACCTTATTTTCCTTTGACCTGTCTTGCAGGAGGTGATGGTGGACAGGTCAGCCCAGTACCAGCACCTGACTAACATGGAGCTGATCTCCTTGCTGCTGCAGCAGGAGATGGACATGCAGAAGCAGCAAGCAGCCTCGGAGCAGCAGGAGGCGCAGCTGGAGAAATGCGAGGCCGAGCTGAAGAAGGTCAAGTCACAGGTTCGAGACCTGGAGGACTACATTGATAATCTGTTACTGCGGATCATGGAGCAGACGCCAACGCTGCTCCAAGTGCGTGCTAGGCACAAGTGAGGACAGTGCTAGTGTGTGATTGGTGTGTTTCAGGCCTCTAGGATATTGCATTATTGAAAGTTGTTATTTATGGATGAGAGTACGTAACTGTTCTGGAGGCAGATCTCCACCAAATCCGATCTCACAAACATCCAGGTCTTCTCACTGCTGATACTGCCCTGTTGATGTAGACACGATATTACCCAACATGCATGCTGGTTACTATCTCAATTTGGTACAAACAGAAAGCAGACAAAGCAGAAAAAAAGCTTTTATCAAAGCAGAAGCAAAAAATTCTTTTACTCATGCTTACGCATTAATGTAGTCACCTGTTGTAAATTTAATCTTAAAGTCACTGCTTTCACATGTGCTTAAAATAAAAGAAAATAGGATACAGAAAAAAATTCTGGAAATGTTTTTGATGTGCTCTGGTCAAATATGATGTTAGCTTAAGTAACACTTTAAAAATGTAGGATTTACAGCCAATTCAATTTTGACACAAGGCTGTTTTATCAGTCCCGTGAAAAAATGCATCCACAGAGGTTAACTTGAGCTAACACCATATTTTTAGATTGTATTTAAGAATAAAGGTTGTAGCAACACATAAACTGCTGCTTCGCAAAGTGGATTATATTAAAAAAATGACTGTTTCTGCATTAACATTGCTGTATGATGACCAAAAAAACAGCATTTATGTTTGTGTCAGAAAAGACTGAAGAGGATAAAGACTTACAGTTTGCATTTGCAATAAAATACTCTGTTTCTTCAGTGCTCTCCCCCTCTCCTGGAATTTTACAGGCTAAAATAGTCAGAATGTTTTAATATATTTTTAAGCTTTTGTTGTCTGTTTATGTTGAAATTATAAGATTTTACTGTAGGGATAACAGAGTAAACATTCAGTAAATAAGAGTATTATAAGTTATTTCTATCAAATAAAGTTTGTCATAATAACATCATACCTAATGCCACTCTAGTGTGACTGTAGCTACTTGCAATGCTTTACACGACCGCAGTACTGTAATATAATAAAATAAAGTGCACATGAGCCGAACCTTCCACACTACTTATGTTGTTTTTGCTACTGATCAAACTGCAGTAGGTCTGCAGAGTGACAAATCAATGCCGTCCTGCAAACTGTGCTGTATGTGGTAAGTCATGCAGCAATGCTTTTTATCTCCGCTAGAGGGCACTCCTGACTTTACAGCTTTGGTGGAAACCTGCTGGTTCAACAGGGACCTCTGCTCTGCAACTTCATTAGAAAATTGCATCCATGACTCCACAGACCAGGCAAACACATCCCTTTGCAGGAGTGACGACGTAATTGTGCTTCTGGAAGTGTTGGTTTCAGGTGGCTGGATTATAGTAAAATAAGAAAGCAAAGACTTTATCAGGTTTGGCACAGTTCCCGTTTAGAAGGAACAGATCTGTACACACAGAAAGGGGCTCACAAAATTTAGCAGATAAAATGTAATTGCAGTCAGAGAAGGGGTATCCTTATCTTGTCCTTATGTAATAGTAGAAGATAGCATTTAAAATCTTATTTTGGGGGGTATCTGATGCATATTAACAGTGTTCATAATTAAGTAACCCCAAAGTAACACTATAGGGGAAAAAATGAATGCTTTGAAAGTGACGCTGGAAGTGTCATTTATCCGAATTTATCATGCACATTTCGCTCCATATGCCACAGTTGGCTTATTTATTATTTTTTCTCAGTTTCCTCTTATTTTTCTTCATATGTATCAGCGTTATAAGAGGAGAAAAAACAAAATCTCTTGTCTTTTTTCTTGGTGTTTTGAGATGGAAGTAATTTCCTAAGCGGCAGTGTCTTGCTTCTCTCCACAGAATGATAAGAGGTAATGAAAGTGTCCAATGCGCTGACTGATAACATAGATTGTCGCTGCTGGTTCTTTATTAAGTCGCTCCAGGCCGACCATTACTCCTTGCAGACATCCGGCCACGCCCCCTCACATTATGAGTAATTGGGTCTATCTGACACCTATGGTGGCATCAGCGGTTATCTCTCCCCAAGATCAATCCGAACAGTTATGCAATAGCGTTCACCTAATCGATTATTTGGGATGTGTAGTCATGCGCTTCAACTTTGCCAGCGTTAAAGCAAATGAGAAAACTACATCTCCCGGCAGGCTTAGCGGCACATTGCTTCACTAGTTACACATTGAATGTAGTTCGCTGTACTTGGAAATCCGTTCATGATCCAGTTCATTAATAAATAAATAGTTGAGTGTCATGGCGGAATCCGCAGCGTGTCCTGCATTCCAGCTCGGGAGACCCCGATACGACCAGGTAAGCCCCCCCTCTACCCTCCGCTAACCATCCGTTAATGGGATTTTGTTTTCAGGCTTTTCGGTGGAAAACAGCTCCATCCTCCGCCCTGCAGCCGCTCCGTTCCGGATGCTGAGGCAGTTTGTGGGCACAAAGTTGGCTTTGATTTGTGATCCGATTCTTCGTTGCCTTTATTTAAACCGCGGTAACTTCCAGCTGCTAGTGAACTTGGTAGAGATGGATGAGTTTTGACTTTATTGCAGTTTTTATAGTGGAAATGATTTCTCGTCGGCAGTGCCATATCAGTGTTTTATGAGATTCCACGCCTCTTCGACGCACGGTTATATCACTGTTCGGATCTGCAGTCAACACACTGAGAGCTCGCCGTCGGTCGTTTTCTCTCAAATCTTCAACTGGCTGTCTGAGTTTGGCTTTTCCTATTTTCACTTTTAATCTAGGCTTCAAAATCTGTTGGAACATCTTGTACAATAATCCAGTCCAACCAAACTTTCTTTTTACCCCCAGGATGCTTCCTGCAGACTGCTGTTGCTCCCACTTTGTTTGACGTTACTGGACTTCCACGAATGTCTGAAGCTCATTACTGAATTTTCCCTCCGTTAGTTAATTTGCAGTGGTCAGGCCTGACAGATAACGTGTCCTTCACGTTGACTCCGATGGCACGTTGAGGACAAGTTAAACTCGCATCTAATTATTCTGTGGTCATTCCCATTTAACGAACAGCAGTATTAAGGGAGTTATTTACGCTGTAATGTCAATGCACAGAGTAAAGTCTTCATGCGTGGAGTGTAAATTAAAGTCACACTAAACTGCTTTAAATCTGATGTTCTCTCAACTCACACGAGCGACCAATACAGTTGTTATTATGCCACCATGACAGCAGAAAAAAATATTGGAAAATATGAAAATTTTCCCACAACTACTGAAGTGTTTTCGGGTCAAGTACATTTGATGTGACAGATCTTTACTGAAGAAATGCACAAAGAGACACAGAAATCATTCAAATATTATTCAGATATTATTCTATTATTCCATTCTATTTCTTAACTTGCTGTTCAGTTTAACCAAGAGGCACTGTGTTTTGCAGGAGTGACCTAACCTGGAGTGTTTTTCAGTACAGGCAGGAGCTGGCACTCTGACAGAGCACAAACACGAGGGGAACATGCAAACTCCACACCCAGTGGCCCTAAAACCAGGTTTAACCCCAGGACCCTCTTTCAGTGGTTCAGAAGTGCTATCGCTGCAAAAATTGTAACCCCCCCCCCCCCCCCCCACCCAAAAAAACCCCAAAAAAAACAAAAAAAAGAAAACCCTGCAAGAATGACCACAAAAAGATATAAAGCAGCAAGTAAGAGTTACAAAAGGATAAGGAAGGGATGCAGCATTACACAAAATGACTACGGTGAGATGTAGAACAACACAAAGAGACACAAGATGACGTCAAAGAGACAAAAAGACCAAAAGAGACACAAATGAATGTTGTCTCTCGCAATCTGTCTCTCTTGATCTAATTTAGGAGGATTGAAGCACTGCATGCATGAGTGTGCCTCCAGATCTGTTTCATAATTCATTCATGGACGCACCAATTAGTACAGGATATTGCATTGTTCACAGACTGCCCAAGTGACAGCTTATTAACAGTCTTTGTCTCAGGATATTTATCTTTTTTTTTAACTGATTACCATCACCAAGGCTCCCCAGCTCGGCCCCGCCATTAGTTTTTCATTGCTCTTTCCCCTCTGGTCCTCAAAAAGACGTTCGTTTTTCATCAGTAACCTGCAGTTCATGTTGGGCTGTTCAAGGTGCTGCAATACTTTTAGTTCTTTGCATCAAAGCATTAAAAATTAGGGCAGTCCTTGAATCAGCATGAATCTTGTTTGGTTTGTCTGTGCTCTGTGCCGCGCTCCATCTCTGCTAGCCTTGTTGTGTGTTCTCCAGGGAGCTGAAACTCATGCATAATTAACGCGGGCTCCTCACACAGATCCTCCCTTCGCCCCACTCTTACAAAACAGCACTGCAGCACATATGGCCTGTCAGAGGAGGAGACATGCGATGAGGGAACGAGGCAGTGACAGAAAACCCAGAGCAGTGATACGGATAGATTTATACACCTACGGTCTTTATAAGGACAGAAGGTTGTTTCCAGTCATTTCAATTTGAAACTGGTGCTAGAGAGGTAATGAAAATAGAGACGTGTCAGTTCCACTGTCATTCTGCTGTGTTTCCCTCCCTTCATCTCTGATAAATGTCTCTGACGGATTCTGATTGAAGCTGCCATGTTTTCACCCGTCTGGTTTGCCAAAGAGACTCTTGGCACAGGCTCCTGTTGGGCCTTTTCAGATTGCTGGCACACATACTTAGCAATTGGCATGCTGATGTAGAGACAGTGAAGGGAACAGAAAACAGGGCGCTTGACCAGCAGCTTCAAGTCTCACTTGGGAGGAACTTTTACTGGAGTAAATGTGCAGATTGCTGGTGCATTTCCCCCAAACTTTAATCTTAAAATACATAATTTGCTTTTACATCTCAGCATTATTTCCTTCCATATGATTATAAGAAAACTGCTACACAAAGAAGTTGTGAATTACATTTTGAAGTAGATTAACGTGATCATGTGTATTCATTTCAGTGTTTCTGAACCTTGGTTTTGACCTTGCAAATATTCTTCCGTCAATATAAAACAACAGGATGCAGACATGTGATGTTATGAAGCTATTGCTGACTCAGTGTAACTGTGAGGCAGATAAAACTGTTTGTTATGATCACGAACAAGTCGAATGGAATTGGTTCTGTGTATTTGAGTGAAAACATGTTTTCCTGCTATTTTTAAGGATTAACTCTGTCATGCTGTCTTTCCCAGGGTTCGTTCTTTGGTCGACTGAGACACTTTGTAGACATCATTGACCCGAGCACTCTGTTTGTCTCAGAGGTAACGTTTTCTCTAAAACATCTAGATGTACAGACAGGTGTCAAACTAAAGGAAAAACACAACAAAGTCTCTTTGTAAGATGCTCAGCCATCTCGGGCTGCCAGGACTGCTTCAGTGCAACTCTAGTCTCTAGTAGTGAATCTCCTATTTATGTTCTACTGTATTGAGAGCGGATGATGGTGAAGATCATGTCATACGATTCACATCATTTTCGTACCCATCAGCCAATTCAGGGTAGACTTGCAGTCAAGACCGCCTAAACCAAGACCAAGACAATACCAAGACCAGTGGGTATCGAGACCAAGACAAAGACGAGATGAGACCGAGAACGAGACAAAAAAGTCTTTAAACTGCAGCCGGATGCTGCTTCGTTTACGGGTGTCGGGCATATTTATGTGTTCTTGCGATGCACTCGCACAGCCCTCCTCACCGCCGTCTACTGTCTCACTCACTCACTGAGAGGACAGACGGATGCTCCACTTGACTGTCGCGTCTCTCACCCTCTCTGTTTTTCACATAATGATATTATCCTATATCCTCGCATGTGATTATGGGATTGGAGCATAGCTGAGCCACTGTGTGAGAGCTGAAAGGAAATTAAGTGAGGAGCGGCTCTCGCTCAATGGGAGTCGACTCTTCTGATTCACTACAAAGCGCTCTGTAAGCACGGCTCGTAGAGCTGATGCTTTTGTGCATGACACATTATCGAACGTTACGCTGTGCGTCGTGGATACTGTTGACTCCAAATCTCCCGACCACTATGTCGATCTGAGACAGGAAGACCAAGACAAGACCGAGACCAAATCCGTCAAGGCCAAGACAAGACCAAGACCACGTAAAAGTGGTCTTGAGACCAAGACCGGTCTCGAGACATCCAACTCTAATTCAGGGACCCCTCGTGTTCTTTGGATGGTGACCCTGGTATCCTGAGACGCCACTCCCACGAGGACAGAAACATTTTATTAGAGGATAAAGTTGAACATGGGACAAGTGGATTTAAACCATTCCAGGAAAACCCCCCTTCCACATCATAACTGAGCCACCAGGTCCCCTCACTGTGTGGGCAAGGGGCTCAGGGTTTTTCTGCAATTTCTCACCCTCAGTTTGTACAATAAATAAAACTCCATATATCTGTATCTGTGTGTCATATTTCACAGTGATATTCCTGATTCATGAAAACATTTTGTATTTGAACATCTTAAAAGGTGTCACAGTGGAGTAATAAAAACTCAAGAATTCAACTATCAACTTGCTAAACATGCCATGTGCACATGATGGATAGGTTTCTCATAACTCTACAACAAATAATTGTTAAAATGCCAAATTAATTACAAGGTAAAGCTTTTTTTGCAGTCTTAAATATTTTCCTGTCAAATGCAAAGTGATGTTCAAGTGTATTTTCAGATGGAAAGGTGCTGTATTGTGGATAAATTTGTTTATATATGTTCAGGTACAGCGCCGCAGTAATACAGAATTCTATATTCTACACAATCTTGTTCCTGCAAAAGGATAATTTCATTCTTGTTCCAATTTTGACAGAAACGGCTAAACGAATGCATCAAACTCCTCGATGACTACAAACATGGCTCACTCCCACCTGGAGTGTCTGACGTTCAGGTGAATGTTACGACATAATATTACACAATCTGTTCCTGAGAGAAATCACAACATCCTGGCTACAGCAAAATGTACATTTTCACAATATAGAAAAGGCAAACTCAATAACATCTTCCATCCATTTAAGGAAAATTATAATAATACTTCATATTTAATTATAGTTCTTTTGTTTTATTGCATTGCTCACATGTTCAGCTGTGGGAAGCACAGAAGATCAAACAGGTAAGTATTATATCGGACGTAAGTCGGCCCACGTTTACTGCCCTTTCATACATTCAAGTCTCTGGGCTGCTGGCGGCATGAGGAAGCTTTCATGCTCTCTGCACGCAGGCCATCATTCATCCTGACACAGGAGAGAAGATCTTCATGCCATTTCGAATGTCAGGTACGGCCTCAGATGAAGATCTTTGCTGAACTTGTTTGAGTTGATCCATTGTATCATCATTGTCTACACTGAAAATCATGTTTTCACTGTGCAGGTTATGTACCATTTGGAACACCAATTGTAAGTCACATATGAAAGCCATGCATTTCATAGAACACGGTCAAATTTGGGGACAGATGAAAGGAGATTTTGAACTTATTTTGTCCAAAAATAAGCTCCTATTCCCTGATTTCATCTAGGTCATTGGCCTTCTTCTCCCAAATCAGACTGTGGTGTCTACCATTATATGGCAGGTACTGTAAATAACATGCTTATTGTAAATCATTGCATTTATTGTCCATTTTGAACATCTGGTAAGTGCACTTTTACTGGGTACATGCAAAGCTTTACCACCTGTTATACACTGGGACATTGTAAAATAAAGTGCTGCTGCTCTGTTTAACAATACTCGCTCATCCTTTAAGCCCGGCTCTTCCCTCATGTCCTCCCTTCCTTTTTTCTTCAGTGGTTGAACCAGAGTCACAATGCCTGTGTGAACTATGCGAATCGTAATGCGACAAAGGTAAAAATGCAAATAAATACAAACTAAACTAAAAAAACCAACTATACAAATGTTGTGACACTGTTTGTTTTTCTTCAGCCTACACCAACATCCAAGTTTATTCAAGGCTACGCAGGAGCTGTGACGAGTGCTGTATCTATTGCAGTGAGTGGGTTTAAGATTAATACAGTTCGTCTTGTGGAATAACTTTTATCATGTTGCAGATGTTTAACTGCAGCACTGTGGAGCTGTATAAAAAGCTGGTTTTACTTGGAATTACGAGATTTAACAGATATTTATTCCATATTTTATAGGTGGGACTGAATGTGCTGATTCAGAAGGCCAATAAATTGAGTCCTGCCACCAGAATGATAATACAGAGACTTGTCCCCTTTCCAGCTGTAGGTAGGTTTTCAAAGGAGCCTTTGTTATGATGAGGGTGGGTTTCATGTGGCCCTCTGCTGGTTGATCTTACATCTTGTTTAAAAATGATTTCAGAGTTTTGTAATTGTGCTAGGATATTTTATGTATTCCTTTTATTATTGAACTTGTTATTCTCATGAACATCAGCAGTTCTACAGATTAATCCACGACATGCTTCTATTTTCTTCTTCTTTGTCAGCTTCATGTCTGACTGAACACCCTGGTACTTTGTACAAATTGGTTAACATCATTTCAACATTTTAATATCAGGTCATGTTTAATTTTTGTATGTTTCCTGAATGTTTCTAGCTCTGAATAAAGCTGTATGGGAAAGGTTTCTCATAACTAAAAGACCAAAAAGTGCTGCATTAATTCATTTTATATCCTAGAATATTAGCTAGAAACTAACAATCACACTACCCGCTACAAGCAAGCACTTGACAACAGTGGGAACGAAAAACCCTCCTTTTAACAGAAAGAAACCAGATTCAGGGAGGGGCAGCCATCCGCCATGATTGATGAAGAAACAGTGCATCATTAGAAGCTCCCAGTAACCGGACATTTTTGCAGTATAACTAAAGGCTGGTGAAGGGTCATCTACACGAGTATGAACTGCAAGCTTAATCAAAAATGCACATTTTAGGTGTAATCTTAGCTGGCTCCATAGCAGAGAGACCTGATAGCTGAAGGTTGTATCTGATATTCTGCTTTTGATAATGCTGGGAACCACTCTGTACATTCACTCAATTCTATTCTTGTAATTTAACCAATCCGGAAAAAGTAACCGGAAATACATAAGAGGAATGAACAGTGCTGAATAGGCCAATCACAATAGGTGCAAGCTGCATCAACCTGAAATGTAGTTACATTTCCAAGGAAGTGCAGGTTGGGTTATGCCGTAGGTGTGGGGTTTCAAAGAGGTTTGCAGTTATGACATGCCAATGGTGTAGATTTCCCACTGAAGCATAAATCCCTGGTAAACCTTCAGTCACAGAGCGATGCTCTGTTAGGATAATACGGTACTATGTGGTCTTTAAATGGCCTGCATTTGTATAGCACTTTTCTAGTCCCTAAGGACCCCAAAGCGCTTCACACTACATTCAGTCATTCACCCATTCACACACACATTCACGATGGCAAGCTACGTTGTAGCCACAGCCGCCCTGGGGCGCACTGACAGAGGCGAGGCTGCCGGACACTGGCGCCACCGGGCCCTCTGACCACCACCAGTAGGCAAACACGGGGTTAGTATCTTGCCCAAGGATATTTAGCATGCAGCCAGGAGGCAGCCTGGGATCGAACCACCGACCTTCTGATTAGTGGCTGACCTGCTCTGCCACCTGAGCTACAGCCACCCCATAGTCTTTAAGATAAGATGGAGGCTGATTATGTCTTTTATGAGAATTAAATTCTGATAACACGGAGCCAGTGAAGAGAAACTGAAAATGAAGAAATGTGATTTCTCTTTTAGTTTTAGTTAGCGCTCTCGCTGCAGTGTTCTGGATCAACTGAAAGTGTTTCAGGGACATTTAAAGTGACCTAATAATGCATTACAATAGTCATGCCTGGAATTGATACGTGCACGATCTTTTCAGCATCGTCATCACTCTGAGACAGGATTTGACAGTGATGGTAATGGAGAAAGTAATGGTAGTGTCCTGGTTTGGGCCACAGTGTTGTGGCTGCACAGACTACAGTCACAACGTCTGTGGCTGCAGTCGTTGTTTGTCAGTCTCTGCACAGATTCTGGTTAAAATGCATTATAATTTCTGAGCTGTCTCCCTCTCCCTTTCCAGCTAGTGCAAACATCTGTAACGTGGGCCTGATGAGACACAATGAGCTGTCCGAGGGCATCGATGTGCTTGACAACAACGGGAACATTGTGGGATCCTCCAGAATTGCTGCGAGACATGTGAGGGCTCTTTCATTTTTGCATGCATGATTCTCGTTTGAAATCCAAACGCCATCTGATTTCCTGAAAAATAAATAAATAAACTCAGTGTTTGAAATGGAGCATGTGCACAATGTTCTCTATCCCCAGGCAATCATGGAAACTGCCTTTACACGTGTGGTCCTCCCAATGCCAATCTTTGTCCTGCCCCCCATCATTATGTCCTACCTCGAGAGGTTTGTGCAGAAATACATTGTTAAGATTTTTTTCCTGTTAGGGTTGCAACTAGTGACTTACTTTTGTTGCTGTTAGTTGTTGTTAGTTGTTGGCCAGTTGGTCTAGAAAAGTACATAAAGCTGCTGCCAAAAGTTCCTAGAGCGATGTGGCACAGTTAAAACAGTAACAGCACAAACCTCAAACATGTAAAATGATCAGAATGTAAAATATAATGCAGTAAGTTTTCCAACAAAGCAAATCAAACAAAAAAGAAAAGCAAATGAAAAGAAACAAATGTACTCATATAGAATAATTACGTTTATGAATGCTGTTGTGGGTAATGATGCTTTTTATTCAACCTATAATACAAGAAAATGCAGCGACCACCCATTTAGTCAAAACTGAAGTAACACTAGTACTTAAGTATGACTGTGACTAAATCAAATCATGGCAAAAGAACAGTTGAAGCCTAAGTTAGCCTTTTAATTAAAGTACAATTTAATAATCTGGCAGGTGCAGGGCTTTGTATTATCAGCTTTGATGTTTTTGCCTCCTGATGGTTATCCAAAGTCAGACTCTAACACAATCAGCAATCAATAAATCCATTACAGTAGTTTGCTTTGTGTCATTGTGCAGCAAACTGGGACTGCTTTACCATTGCTTTAATTGTGCTCTTTTTTAGTATTGGCTGCTTGAATTTGTTCTAAAAATGCACAGCAAATACTACAAGTACTACTTTGTGTGTACTGAACCAAAGCTGGCATGTGTTGTGCCCCGAAGTGTTTACTAAACTATTCATTCAGTCAAAGGTCACAAGAGTAAAGGACAGACAATGTAAGAAGAAATAGAAAAGTAAAGCAGATTTTGTGCCTTTAAAGAAGAATCTGCAGTCAGATTTATGATATTCTCTCACACACACATAAATCTCACACCCTCTAATCGTGCAGAAATAGCTCCCCTAAATCTGCACATGATGTTTTTCTCCAGATCCAAAAATAACTCATAGCTTTGCAGGAGTCATCTGGGATCGATCCACACAGCACGCTCACATTTCTTTTTTATCTCTGCCTTGACTTGTGTAGGCTGCGATTTCTGCAGAGCAACCGCAGGCTGTTGCTGCCCATCCACAGCGTTGTGTGCCTGGTTACCTTTGGCCTCTCCTTACCCGTGGCCATCAGTCTGTTCCCCCAGATGTCTCAGGTACAGGACATACACTGTTAGACGGGCTGCTGCCTTCAAGGCCAGATGGCACAGGGAGCAGCTGTGCAAAAATTCAAATTACATGCACACAGCTTGACATGCAGAGCCCCGACCCACATCCTTTTATTCCAGCGTCTAATTAAAACTCTAAATGACTTTCAAGGCTAAAGGAAGGAGAGAAGAGCTCAATTCTTACATTTGGTTTCATGGTCTTTGTTTTGCTTTCTTTCACTCTCTTTTTTTTGTTGGCAGATCGAGGTGTCTTGCCTTGAGCCGGAGATTGCCATGGCAACAGATTGCAAGGTGGTGACCTACAACAAAGGTTTATGATGGATGGTGGTGGAGTGGGAGAGGAGAGCAAAGGGAGCCAGGAGGAAAAGGAGGCTGCAGTGTGAATAGCTGTCAGGGAGTCTCAGCTGTAGGGTTCCTCCTGTCGACAGGTTTGGGAACTATGTGCTGCATTTTTATCACAGGAAAGACTGCTTTTTAAACTGGTTTCTGCATTTATCAAGATCCCAGCAGTTATTAAATCATAGTTTTCTGAGAGGTTTTTTATTCTGTCGTCTCCTTTTTAAGAGCTCTTTGTATAGAAATGCTGATTTATTCTCTGCAAAGTCAGATTTAGCATCAGTTCATTATTTAATGCTGTATAAATAAGTGTTCCCTACAGATATGCTATTCTTTGTTGGTCCGACCGAGTACAGTTCTTCTCACTGCGTCATCCCTAACTTTGTCCGTCTGTGACTGGGGGACTGTGTATGCCGTGCAGAGCCAGTTTGTTTGAGCTTTTTGGTTTGAAACTGCTGCAAATGAACCAAAACAGTAAAAATATTCCTTCACTCTGTTTTGAATCTTGGGACAAACATTTGTAAAATATATTGAAAGCAAATGCAGTATTGATTATATGAGAGGAAATCAGCCCAAGGAGAGATGAACGTGTATAAGCTTATGAATCCAAAAATCGTTGGACAAACAGCGACGTGTATGTCCAGAGACTGTTCTGTGCACTGCTATTAAGCTGTAGCCACTTAATAGCAGTACAAAGACCAGTGTGCACAATTTCCACAGCCATTAATAAAGAAGAGCACACAGGTACCTAACTTCTTTAGTGGTGCATGCATGCATAAAGAGCAGCACCATAATCCAATAAAGTTAAAAAAGTTAAAGAAATGTTGCAGATGAAAGGTTTTCCCTGCCTGAAAGGAGGAATTAGATTTATTTCTAAAAAAGGAACCTTAATTTAAATTAAGTGATGTTTATTCACAGTCCTGAGTTGCTTGCGCTGTGATCAGATTTTAGTTAGATTTTTAAGAGATTTGCTGCAGCAACCTCCTAATTACAGCCCTCATATGGGAAACACAGTTCTCACAGTGCCCATGCTGAGCCACATATATTTAAAACATTTTTATTGTTTACTGACAGTAAGGAATATGGCCATGCAGAATAAGTCTTTTATATTGGATAAGACAAAACCCGATACCAATATATTAGGATCATTATGAGCCTCTTAATATAAAATGTATTTATTTTTCCTTGTACTGGCTCCTATCCATCTGATGACTCTGTGGAGGTAGAGGCAAATATAAAATTATATATATATAAAATATAAAACTACAAGTAGTAAGTATTTTTCATCAGGTTCATTAAAGACATAAATCTACTGTATTGTGGCTGTGACATGTAGTGAGTGAGATGAAAACATCTTCTGAACTGCAGCTGATAATAATCTGATTATGGAGATGGAAAGGAGTCAGCTGCATGCAAACTAAGTTGTTGAGTGAGACTCACTCGGACGAGGGAAACTTTCACTATGAAACAATGTAAAAACGTGAAGCTCCTGTTAAGTAGCTGCACTCTCGATGTCTTATTGTTTATACAAGTTTTAAACTGGCAGTTGATACATGCCAGTGATTTTAACCCACACAATGTGAAAGAACTGCTAAAACATGGCATTACATTTTCTTGTATGAAGGTCATTTTGCTCCATTACTGACTGTTGTCAAGTTACTGTTTTATTATTAAAGAATTGCTTCTTTTGTACACAATTTGAAATAGAACCATAACATATACTACACAACTGACTGTTTTTAATTCTTTGTGTAAAACTTCCACTGATACTATTGCAAATGTTTGCCAGTCAAACAATGTAAACCTGATATTATTTTACTATATAGCCTGTAATAAATACTCTTACTGTATGTAAAGTGTCTGCACTCTTTACTTCATGTTGCTACAGGATGCTTTTCCACCCTTTACAGTAAGGCTTCTGTATTATGTTGGTTTCCCTGGTGAAAAAGTAATTGGCTGTTATAATATGAATGAACTCTGATTAACCATAACTTTTTGGAAACCTGAGTTCAGTTTCACTAGCTGTGCCCCAGCCTGATTACTGCCTGTTGAAGCAAGAAATCACTTAAATAGAACCTGTCTGACTAAGTGAAGTAGGCTAAAATGCCACAATCTAAAGAAACTCAAGAACGGATGAGAAACACGTTAATTTGCATCTGTCCGTCTGGAAAGGGTTACACAGCCATTTCTAAAGCTTTGGGACTCCAGCAAACCACGGTGAGAGTCATTATCTATACATAAAGAAAAGTTGGCATAGTGGTGGACCTTCCCAGGAGGGCCAACCGACCAGAATTACCCAACGACGGGCGCTTTCCCGCGTCAACGAGGGTCGTTCAGGTTAACCCACTATGAGATCTTGCCTCACTCTATCATGTAATCTATTGGGGTCACCTGAAGCAAGAGGCGAGTGGGTGTTAAGGTTCCTGGGAAGGGATCCTAAGACTGCATTGTAGGTGGCAGACGGTGCTGCAAGCCATCCCCTCTGTTCAACATGGCCTTTTGTAGTGGACATAGATGGTTTCTTTCACTCCTCTTTCAAACCATCTGTCTTCTCAGTCCAAAACGTGGTAAGTGAGGAACAAGCCTGTCACTGGGGAAAGTACTACCGCTGTGGAAGACCTCCTGCGTGGTACCAGTACCAAAGACCTCCCATCCTAAGGACGCAAGCAGCTACAGTCCAGTAGCCCTGACATTACATCTGATGAAGACCCTCGAGAGGTTGGTTCTAAACCATCTGCGCCCCCTGGTGAGGTCTTCATTGGATCCGCTACAGTTTGCTTACCCGCCTGGCATCGGGGTGGAGGATGCCATCATCTACCTCCTGCACCGAGCTCTGACTCACCTGGAGAAGCCTGGAAGCACTGTGAGGATCACGTTCTTTGATTTCTCCACTGCTTTCAACACCATCCAGCTACGACTTCTGAGGGACAAGCTGGAGCTATCAGGAGTGGACCAACACATGTCCCAGTGGATACTGGACTACCTCACAGGACGCCCACAGTATGTGAGGACACAGAGCTGTGTCTCTGACAGGCTGGTCTGCAGTACGGGGGCCCCACACTGTGCTGGCACCGTTCCTCTTCACCCTCTACACCGCAGACTTCTCCATCAACTGCCCACGCTGCCACCTACAGAAGTTCTCTGACGACTCTGCCATAGTCGGCCTCATCACAGGTGAGGACGACTCAGAGTGCAGACAGTGGACTCTGGACTTTGTATACTGGTGTCAGCAGAACCACCTGCTGATCAACGCCGGGAAAACCAAGGAGCTGGTGGTGGACTTCCGGAGACGCTGACCCACCACACTGACACCGGTGAACATCCAGGGAGTGGACATTGAGATTGTGGACTCCTATAGGTACCTGGGTGTTCACCTGAATAATAAACTGGACTGGAGCCACAACACTGATGCTCTTTACAGGAAGGGTCAGAGCAGACGCTACCTGCTGAGGCGGCTGAGGTCATTTGGAGTCCAGGGAGCGCTTTTAAAGACCTTCTATGACTCTGTGGTGACATCTGTCATGTTTTACAGTGTGGTGTGTTGGAGCAGCAGTTTATTGACAGCTGAGAGGAAGGACTGTGGCCAAAATAACATCTCTGATGGACAGAGTCTCCCACCCCATGCATGTAAATGTTGCTGAACTGCAGAGCTGCTTCAGTGACAGACTGCTGCATCCTCGATGCATGAAGGAGCGTTTCTGCAGGTCCTTCCTCCCTGCAGCTGTCAGACTGTACAATCAGAACTGCTCCCAACAAACGTGGATGTTTACATCTGTGCTGTAACAACTTCTACTGTTATAACTTGCACATTACTTTTTTCAGTTTATATACACACTAACTTATTGAAAGTTACATATCTACTTTTTAATGCACAGATACAATCACACAATCTGCACTTTTCTAATTATTCTAAATATTCTCAACTATTTAAACATCTTTCAGTATCCTGCTCTGTTTGCACACTACAACCTGGGTTTGCCACGTATCTGTAATTTAATTTTAATAACTGTACAGTGCTCTGCTTTCGTAACTGTTGTCCATGATGTAAATATGTAAAAATTGTGTTTCTGTTCTGTGTCCTGCTCTGTTTGTATATGTGTGTTTTTTTTGTTTTGCTGCTGATACAACCAAATTTCCCCTTGTGGGAAAATTAAAGGATTATTCTATTCTATTCTATTCTATTCTATTCTATTCACTTGACTAATTTGTCCTTATGTCATCCGGGGGAAGGGTGGATTTAAAAAAAAAAAAATTATTTATTTGAAGTTGCATGTTTTGCTGTGTTCCCATGTTGAGTGATTTATCTTTGCAGTATTGCATGCTTTTATTATATTTACTGTGGACTTGTCCCGGGGACACTTCTCCCCTCCCCCTCCTGATCACTAATTGGACACACTCGCTTTTTTTCGCTTCTAAAAAGTCGACACTTTAATTTTTTTTGCTTTTAGTGGCATCCAAAGTCCCCTCCATAAATCAAGAAGACAAAAAGGTTTTTGTCCGAATCAGTCTGCGCATCTAAGCTAACTTCATGGCCAGATATCATCAGTCCCAAACACCGTTAAAAACGTCCGTCTGTGTCAAGACTGCGTATTGTATCTGCTTAATTTCGACTGTTTTCAGATTATTTAATAAACAAACGAACAAAAACTCCCGTTAATTTCAAAGCGCATGATCTGAGCATGCGCGGAATGTCTTACAACAGCTACCCAATCGCAGACCCTTCTCAACATTTATGCAACTTTCTGTTCACCACCAGAGGTCGCTGCCGCCTGTCTCACAGATAAAACGTCAACGTCAGAGTTGAAAGGTCGTCTGAAACATGGCTGCTCCCGTGGATGACATGTTTTCCTTCTGCGTGGACCCCGGCAAAGTGTCCAGCTGTGTGGAAGTCAGATTTATCGACAATGTCAAGGTCAGAGTTGTCCGTGATTTTCATATTAAATGGATTTAGAAGAAATCTGCGGCTGAACACAGATTTAAAGCGGCGGTGCTGTAGTCGCATGTCGGCTGTCAGTGCGGATCACAGCCAGGCACGACTGGCTGATGTATGACACACAGTGGAGATTGAATGATTGTCTAAATCCTCCATGAAGGGTTTGATTTCTATGTTGCCTTCAGGAAAATTTAGGACAGCAGCTTCCAGAGACCAAAGCTTAGCTCGCTAATATCACAGTATAAGAACTACTAGCTGAAAATTACCCCTACTATTCATGTCCACTAATAATAATAACTGTGATAGAGTGCTAACAAGTTCACGTCTTTAACTTGGTCTTTCTGTGCGTGTGTGTTTTTTTTTCTCCTCTTCTTCTTCTTCTTTTAAGGAAATTCTTAAATAGACAAATGTAATCAGTTCTCTTGACACGTGATGTTGCAGGCATCATGACGTTTTCCACAGCTTTCAGGTCACATCATCTGTGAATGAGAATGGAGCCCCTGGTGGACCTGCCTTCTCTGGTGTTCTCTGGAGGATGACAGCCTGTGAGCACAGGTCCCGCTAAACCATGTTGGGCTCTCATGGAGTCTTTTTATGGCACTTTAGTCAGTAACATGCACAGAATAGCCCTTGGGGGTCATTTTGTAGGCCTCTTCCATCGCTCCTCCTGTCCCTCCTTGCACAAAGAAGCAGTTTCTGGTCCGCTTTTCATTTGATGACCTTCTACGCCCTGTCCAGCTCACCTACTGTAACAGCCAGATATCTATCTATCTATCTATCTATCTATCTATCTATCTATCTATCTATCTATCTATCTATCTAGAGATATCTCTCAGACACACAAAATTGAATGAATTTCTGTAGGACAAGCTAGAAAGGGCACTTCTGCCATCTCTTCTTTACTTTGTTACTCTTCATTAATCAGCTGTTATAAATGCAAATACCAGTGGATTGTTAATATAGTTGCATTAATAAACTGAGTGGACTCTAAATGGTGGTGCTTGTTTTTTAAGTGGTCTGTCTGGACTGAATGCAGCAGTATGTTATTCCTCCTCCTTACAGTTTTTACTCATGTTGATTGGTTGATGTGTGATTGGTGGATGAAAAAATGAAAACAACAACTTACAATTTCTGGGGAAAAACATGTTTGGGCTGCAGCAAGTTATGAGTTTTCTTAAACATAGTGATTAAGAAATGAATCATTTTAGGTCCCACTGTGATTTACATTTTAATTTCTTGTAAAATGTTCATAGTCTATAACTTTTCTGTAGTGACTGAAGGCTGCAGTAACAGTTAGTTATTCATGTTACAGGGCAAGGGTCTCTTTGCCAAAAGGAGCATAAAGAAGGGAGAAACCATTTTCATTGAGCGGCCTCTCGTCTCTGCCCAATTCCTGTGGAACACTTTGTATAAATATAAAGGTGAGATGTTTGATGCACATATAGAGAAGCACTTATAAGACTTATAATTGCATCTTTTCATTGATTATTGAGGTTTTGGACTAACTGGACAAAATAATCTGCATGTATACTGCATGTGGATCTACAATGAAACTTATCATCTCAATGCTGCCCTGCTGTGATGTCATCTCTGTTCACCGGCTCTACCATCATGCCCCCTACAGCCTGTGAATACTGCTTACGTGCTTTGGAGACTGCAGAGGGGAATGCGAGAAGACTTAGCGGCATCCCTGGACTCAGCCTTCCTCATCCTGAGCTGTGCCGTGTACGCCCAGAACAGCATCAAGCATGCCCTCAGTGCCAGGTAAATCTATTTTAGTACAGTCCACTACCAAAAAGTATAACTTGCAATTTTTTGTGAAAGTAAAACCCTCACAGCAACTGGTGAGGTCAATATAAGATACAAAACATTGATTTTAACCTGGCAGTGGTTAAGGAAGAGCTTCAGCTACATCAATGGTGGTTGCTTGCTAATCAATCTTTAGAGGCCACTACTAACACCCAGTCAATAAGCCAAGCTAAGGTCACATGAAAATGTAAATACATGCCCCCCCCCCATTACTAGAAGAGCATACATTTAATCCTCTTTTGCAGTAGAGGATCAATGCCTGTTCGAGAAAGGGCTTGGTTATTATTTGGATGCGAGAATTTGACCACAAAAACTAAAAATTCACCAAAGGATGAGTCAAAAATACAAAAATGGAGGGTTTTTGAATGGTGTAGTTGGAGCACAGATTTGAATCTCTTAAGCGATAGAGCTGAGGAGTCCCGAGCACTTAATCCTGATCATGTCATTAATCTGTATGGGGGTGGTCACCTTGGAGGACAGAAGACCGATTGTAGTAACGTCACTTTTATATGACTTTGAATGTGGAAAGGTTTTTGGTGGCAGGTGGGTTGGTCTATTTCAGAAAGTGCTGATCTACTGGAATTTGCCCAGACAACCTTCTCTAGGCTTTACAGAGACTGGAAGCAAATGGGCTTCGGCAGCAGAAGACCACACCGGGTACCACTCGGGAAACTAAAGTTACAGTTTGAACAATAGAAGATTAGTCTGAGTCTCGGTTTCTGTTGAGGCATACAGATTGTAGCGTCACAATTTGGTATAAATGACATGAAAGCACGGATGCATCCGTATTACATTTAACAATTTAGGCTGCTGGTGAGGGTGTAATGGTGTTGGTGGTATGTTATGGCATTCCTTGAGCCCCTGAGTGTTGTTGCTGACCATGTCCAACCCCCTGTATGACCACAGTGCACCTTTTTAATCTTTACCACAAAGAGTTCAGGCAGTTTTGAGGCAAAAGGGAGTCTATCCCAGTACTAGCAAGGCGTACCTAATAAAGTGGCAAATGAGCCTGTACAGTACCTGCAACAAGCAAACAGGCAGGCAACGCTTAGACTATATTAAAGTGAACTAAACATAATTTCATGCCGTTCTGCTTTGGGGCTTTTGAAGCGCTACACCTTCACTTTTAATGCTCACTGCTTTCTCAGTATAACCGAGTGCTGGATGCAGATTTATCAGATCTGCTTTTCAGAATGGATGATGATGATGTTCCAGAAATGCTTTATGTCCTTTATTAACTTCAAAACTGGCTCCAGTAAATTTCATTCTCCAGAAAGTCATAACTTTCCTGATTTCTCCAAAGGAAACTTAAACTCATAAATGGGGATTAAAGAGTTCGGTGATGAATTTATCCCCGGAGTCACTGCGAACTTGGTAAAAGCAGTGATTTAAAAACACGAAGCCATAGTGCTTTACTCAGCCCCGCAGATTCAAGAAATTATAAACCATAAACCCAGTTTCCTCATTAGTTTAACATTTCGAATGTTTTTGTTTGGGGTCAATCCCCCGGCCTCTGCTCCCTCTGTAGGTGATGTACTGCAGCAGCGAGTGTCGACAGGCAGCGGCAGATCAGTACCATCAGGCTCTGTGTCTGGGTCCTTCTGAAGAAGATCCTGATCACCCCATCAACAAGCTCAAAGATGCATGGAGGTGAGGAAGCATTTTAAAAACGTTCATCTTCTGGGAGCGCTGACTTTCTAATTCACCCCAATAACCTACTGCTGCTTTCTTTCAGGAGTATGCATTATCCCCCTGAGACCTCCAGCATCATGCTTATGGCCAAAATGGTAGCTATGGTAAAACAGGTGAGACTTTTGATTTACAGCTTTGAAAATATTCAAGTGTTTGTACTTATGCTCAGTATTAGAGATGTAATACAAACGCTTCTCTGTAAAGGAACATGATATGCTGCACCTGATTAGATTTTCCTTTTTTTTAAAAAAACTCTGTGTTGCTAATGTTTCACTTTTAAATGAAACTATATGAAATTATTGCTGGCTTGAAATGAACTTTGCTGCGATTCAGGTGCTGTAAACAAGAAAAGCTACATGTTAACTTTTGAAAGGTCACAGGGTCACTAGACTAATGTTTGCAGACTTTCCTCTTTTCACCAGACTGACAGAAAACAAATCACAGTGTGATGTATGTATTCATTTTAAAAGTCCTGGTTATTAGTTTCTGAAAACTCTAAAAAGTGTTGACTTCTGTTATAGGATGTTAAGATTACTCGTGCAGGTTTGAATGAGTACTATCGTTTAACCCTTTCAAAAAACACCCCCAAAAACAAACCATGCAAAACACAAGTAGGTGTGTGGGAGATATTCAGTAAGTCACAAAACATTATTTATGTTTTCCAGGCCAAAGATAAAGCACACTTGCAGAAGCTGTTTACTCACTTCTGCAGCCGGACAGCCAACGAGGAAGAGGAGATCGCCCATAAGCTCCTAGGAGAACAGTTCAGAGTGAGTTACCTTCTTCTTATTTCTGCCTGACGTGTGAATTCATTGAGGTACAAAAAGTCAAAAGTTCAAATTCAAACACAGTGTCATGCTGTTATGGTGATCTTAGCTCTTCACAGCTCGAGTAAGCAACACACGCCAGGCGTCAAACATACAAGTGATGTGTATTTTCTGTTATGTAAAATATTACATGAAGTTATTTCAACGTCTTTTTGTAGGGGCAGTTGGCCTTGCTGCACAGCCTTTTTACAGAAGCACTTTATGACGACCGTCTCGGCCGGGTAAGTATGTTCTGTGAAGCCACAGCACACGTTGTTTCCTCTTGTTTTCAATCCAGCGTTCATTCATTTTTTTAGAGAATGCTGCCAAAAATATCACAGAAAGCGGTTGTTGCTCGAGACAGCTAATTAAAGCTGCTCACTGGTGGAATTAGAGCTGACAGCTCTGATTTATTTGGCCGCCTTTGCCTCCTTAATATTGTTCGACCTATTAAATCATTTTTACAGGTTATTTATTTAATTATTTTTTTGAACACATGAAAACCTAGTGCCCAGTGACTGTAATCATTATTATCTCACTTGGCAATCACAGGAAAATTGAGAAAAATGCCCTCACATGCTCCCAGAGCCCAGTATTGGTCCAGATGATGATGCTGGACAATACTTCAGCTGCTTAAGATATATGGATATTTTATTTAAGCTATAGGACAAGAAAATACTATTTATATCCTTGTAGTCTGATGTGGCACAAACACTTTCACCATAATACGATGCCAGTGTGCAGTACTGCCCGCCTTCATACTTGGCGAGACAATCCCATTCGCTTACAAGTTTTCCTGCAACACTGAGACACAACAGTGGTCCAACATTAAATAATAATAGTACATTAATTTGTGGAAACGACAAAAAGAGAAAGTAATGAACTATAAATACCTGCCTGTGTTTTTGGGTTCAAAATGTCTCAAAAGAACATGACAACAGTTTCAGCATGAAACGGCTCGTTTTCTGTTTAGACTTCATAATGAAATGCATAAAATAGTTTTGATACGCTTCCTCACGATTGACCTTTTTGCAGCTTTCCTTCTTGGCTTTAGCCAGAGCAGATTTGTTCCTTTCAACCAGCTTATTTGTCACAAATCTTCAATGACCATAGCATGGATAATCCTCCTGATGATTTACAGAATAGAATCAACTCTTTTATTGAATATGACCTGAAATGATAAAGCCCAACGTGTTTGCAGAGGTAGAAACAGAATGCTGTTTTTCACTTCTACAGGATCAGAAGTCCTTTTTTTGCAACCACAGCTGTCGCCATCTGTTAGCTTTGAGATAGAATGCAGGTTCAAGGCGCTTCCTGGGTTTGGCTTAACTTTTGCACCTTGAAGCTACCTTCATGTCTTTATACCGTCTTTGTTTGCGGCCTTTGTAAGAACTGTGAAGCTCCATGTTCACTATTGGTCATATGGAGCAAACCCTTCCCTGTACAGGTAAATAATGCCATAGCAACAGAGTTAGGCTGGAAGAAAAGAACGTACTACTTGGTTTAGCAAGTTGATGGTTGAACTTTATCAAAAACAAGTAAATAAAACCATGTCCTTCACCCTACTTGTATGATATGAGTCAGTTTGCTTAGTTTAAAGAAAAAGACTTAAATTATGATTACGTCATAATTTCTGAGTAATCAAAATCTGGTTTATTCCAACGGACGCTCAGACTTTTTCTGGGAATTCTGTTCTTTGATCGCAGCTTGTCAAATGTGAGGGGTTTCTTCTTCTCCTCATTATAATTGTTTGTATTAGTTACCTTGGGCTTGAAGTGAAAATCTGACTGCTCTATTTTCTTACAGTTTCTTTGATTTGTATAATCAAAGAGGAAAAAAATGTATTAATTACCAAAAGAGTTACTAATTTGCCAGCTCCCTGCGTGGATGATTAACGGTGTGACTGTATTGCAGTGGTTTGTCCCTGAGGGTTTCCGTTCTCTGTTTGCTTTGGTGGGGACCAACGGACAAGGCATTGGCACCAGGTAAATATCACTGCAACCTTTAACCAGCTTAACACTGGGGCTCAATATGGTTCTAACACTCCACTGTCTTTATGTTCTGTTATCCAAACGTAGCTCTCTGAGCCAGTGGGTTCATGCCTGCGATGCACTTGAGCTTCCTGCCCAGCAGAGGGAGCATTTGGACTCTTTTATTGACCAGCTGTACAAGGACATTGAAAAAGGTCAGTTTTATCTCAGTATTGCAGTATTTTCTACAATAAATTCTTTTTGTCTCAACTGAGCAGATTTGCGACGGCTGAATTGTCTGAGTTAGTTTGTATATGTGTGTTGACCAATGCTGTGGTTGTTACATAAACCCGTGCGTATCCAAGCAAAGGTCAGAAATATGCATAATTTGTCTGTTCTGTGCAGAAACCGGAGACTTTCTAAACTGCGAGGGGTCTGGACTCTTTCTGCTTCAAAGCTCATGTAAGTGCTGATGATGTCTCTCTTATGAAAACTGTTACTTCAGATTAAAGATGCTGTTGGTCTGGGCTAAAAGGCCGTATGATAACCTCCCCTGACACACACACACACACAACCATATGCTTCTTTGACCTCTGCAGGTAACCACAGCTGCATACCCAACGCAGAGGTGTCGTTCCCCGACAACAATTTCCTCCTTCACCTCAGTGCCCTCTGTGACATCAACCAGGGAGAGGTGAGCTGACACGTCTGGGTTTTGAGTGATAAATTCTGGCCTGAAATAGACTGCACAGAACACTTGTGTGCCCCCTTGTCAGGGGGCATTAGAAGGCTGAGACTTTAAGGATTGGAGCGGGTTAGTCAAGCTGTCAGAAAGATTGAGAAGCCTTGCATCCGCGCGGCACAGTAATGTCACAGCGGCCGTGCTACTTTCACAGCAAAGATCTCCTTTGAATGCTGGCGAAGACTGAAGCGTTTTGTACCAGGAGAGCGAGAGAGCAGGGCAGAGCGACCTCCTGCATGATGAAGCGACGGCATTTTGGGAAAATGTTTTGTGCAAAATCTGGAAAAATTGCAATACGAGTAGTTTGTAACTGTTATGGTACAGTAATATTATATTGATGTTGGGATTCTTCAGCCAGTTCAGGAGCGTGTATGTGTGTGTGTCTTTTCCATCTTCAGGAGATTTGCATCAGTTATTTGGACTGCTGTCAGCGGGACCGAAGCCGACATAGCAGACATAAGATTCTGAGGTAAACATCTGTAATCCCTGGGATACTTCACTTGAACGGGGTCATACTCTTATGAATTCCATCAGGATCAATAAAAAGCCTTCCAGGCAATAATAGGATGTCTCGAAGCAGATAGGCTAGTGGGTCTGATGGTTACTCCTGTGCTCACTCTGCTCATTGATTAGCATGATGGTGTTAGAGCATCCTGTGTTAATTCTCAGTCTCGAGAAGGTGTCGTTTCATTACAGGATGGTGTTGTGGTCCGGAAGTATTAATTACAGTGTTGAACAGTCGGTTGCTTTTGTGCACAGAAGCCACTTAAAAAGCCAAGATTTTCTTAACAGCAAAGTGCAGAATGGTTCTAATTAAAAAGAGCTGTTATCAGAGGTGCAAACAATGTGACCAGTGGGACACTTTCTTCACAGGGAGAACTACCTGTTTGTCTGCTCGTGTCCAAAGTGCGTTTCCCAGATGGATGAATTGGATGTGACATCCGAGGAGGAAGAGGAAGAAGAAGGTGTGGCAGAAGGTGAAACAGAGGGAGATGAGATGGAAGATGAGATGACAGATGTCTGATGAAAGACTTGACCATATTGTTCTCAGCCGCCTCCCATTCCTGCCACCACGCTCAGCACCCATGAAGCCCGGAAGATTTAACGACCAGTCCAGACTATGATCTGCATTTCACTGGTGTCTCAATGTGTGTCGAAAATGGCCTGTTGGCACACAGCGCTTATTTTAGAGATCAGTCACAGAAATTGTGTGATGTACGCCTGTGTGTGTGTAAGACTGAGGTTTGTTCTTTTTTTCACTTCAGCACACTGGTGGTTTACAGTGGAACAAAGAAAGTGCGTGCCATTCAAACACATGGGGACTTAAAACTGTCAAATTGATGTTTTGGAGCTCCTTTTAAAATTATTTGAACTGCACGGTGATGGCTTTTTATTAAGTGTTGAGTGAATAATGCTTGGCTAATTGTGCAAGCAGCAGTAGTGTAACATGAATATTTCCTGGATTTCTGGTTGTCCACAGGGAGGCAGAGAGAGAAGCCAGCGAGGGAACTCTCTCAAGCTATTTTATATGGACAACTTGTAAAAATACTACTACTCTCCAAGGATAACTATACCCAATCCCAAATATTCGTTCTACTTGAAGAAAAACGAGTAAAGATTGAAACCTTTTAGTTTTCTGGCATCACTCCAAATCAATACAAAGTTTTTCTGGGTGGTCACCTTTGTCCTTGGATTGCAATCCTGAAGTAGGTGATCTATTCCAAGGTGAAAATCTACCATCCTCAGGATGCAAGAGGCACATATTGCTGCCCTCACAATCAGCAGGTCTACACACACACACACACACACACACACACACACACACACACACTGGAGAGTTAGAGAGCACTTGTAAAACCATCATCAAAACACCAAATGATGGGATGCCGTTTGGAAGAATGGCTTATTTTCCTCCAGCAGATTTCCAGGAAGCTGGAGAATTGAACTGGAGTTCTGGCAAACATTCATTATCTGTTGTTGTCAGCACCGCTGTCACAATAGAAGTTTCATTCACCACCGATGTATACAGTAAGAGGATAAGAGCAGCTTTAGCACAAGGTCAGGTCTATATCCTATAGTGTAGGTATTTTGTCTGTAATCCGTTGTGTTGGGAGTAAAGAGCCAAAGAAAAACTGTTAAAATTGGCGTTTGCAATGTGTTTGACATGTAAGTTCACTTAATGTAACATTTGTTTCTAAAGACTCTTAAAGAAAACAAAGCAGTTCAGCAAAAGTCAGTTGGTTCATAGGTGCTTCTGTTTTACCTAATATATGTTTCTTACATGACTATGCATACAGTGTTGTTCAGGCTTTTTATTTATAGGCCTAATTACAGCCTTGTCATATGGGAGACATCCAGCCGGTGAATATATAGTTTGGTTTCCACCTCTTGATCTATTGGGTTGAGTTAAACCTTACTTAATGCATTATGGAGACCTTGAGTGGAAAATTGCTTTGTCAGTAACTGTTTGCCCTTTGTTGAGAACTGTATTTCAGACCACGGTTCCATATGAGTGAAATCGCTGCTGCTGCTGTACGTGAATCAATATCACAACAATGACTGTAATCACAAATCGCAGTGTTTTCAGCTGCTCAACAAAGATTGGAAATATTGAACGACAATTTTCTCAGTTAGCAATCAGCGCAGTGGCACAGGAGAACATGGCTTTGTAAGTCGCATGTAAAATTTAAATATAACAGGAGCCTAGCAGTTGTCATTTTTACTGCTCTGGCATAAAGCATTGAAATTGGATGTCTGTTGAGTCATTTATTTGTTTTACACGCCTCCTGTCTTTGCTGCTGAAAATTGTACTTGTAAAATATTTGTTCAGTCCTTTTGCATTAACTTAGTCAAATTGTCTTTCTCAAAGAGGTTAGGTCTTCAGCAGTTGTCTTTTTTTATTTTTAATTTTTATTTTGGGCCCTTTTATCCTCGACAAATTCCATTAAAGGTCCAAAAGCAATGAATTGATCCTTCTGCAAAGTATCTGCTATGTGTCTAACACCACATTTATCTTATTTCACCGTGGTTAGAGCTCTATTCTTGTCTAAAAACTATTGAAAACACATCCGTGAGCCACAGCAGCTCCAAAGACTAATAATGGCAATCGCTGTTACTGCCACTTGGAGATTTTTTTTAAAGGATTTTTTGACAATGAGAGAAATATAGCAAATGTTGTAGCAAATTATGTTCTCAAATTATCCTTCAATTAGTAGTAAAAACAAGCACAAAAACCCCCAGCAGTCAATTATGGTAATCTACTGCTGACTGCCTGTCACTCCATCACTATGAATATGGGCACTAAGAATCTAAGATGCTAAATAACAATGAATTTATTTGAAGTGTGTAGTTCTAAAGTTGACTATATTCTGTTCTTTCCTCTGTTGGTTGTACATGGTTGACATTTCTCCATTAACAGCCTGTGTTTACTCCAGTATCTGCTCTTTGCTGCACTTACATCAAGCGCTTATTCACTACGGATGCATGTAAGAGAAATGGAAAATAATAGAACGCATTATGTCTGTGAAACGATGCACACCTGGGACCTAGCACCGTATGAAGTCGGACCTCTGGTCACATCCTTCAGTTGAAGCTCCCACACCATCAGCTGTCACCCTGTGAAGCGATTCCAGAAACGCTGCAGGAGCTTTGTAGCTGTGAAATGTCGTCTTTGCTGTGGCAGCCCGCTGCAACGGTCAATCCCGCGCAGCCAGGCATGTAGTTGTAGGCCTCCACATCACAGAGCCTGGCTGTTTCAAGTAAAGAAAGCAGAGAGGTCACAGTCTGCTGTGACAGAAGTTGGGCAGATAGAGGCTCATTTCAGGACTGAAGGAGTGGGAAGTGACAAAAGTGTTTGAGGAAAGGAAAAAAGGAAGTGGGAAAAGCTTTATGAAAGGCAATTGTTACTATTCAGAGAATGGGTCTCTTATTCTGACAAGTACAAAAAGCCCCTTCAAACTAAAGACTACAATGATATAAAAGCAGCACATTTCTTTATCCTGCCTTTGCCACATTATGCAGATACAAGAGGGAGAGTACTTGACTTTATTTAAAGAGATAAAAGATGGTACATTTTACTGTTAATGTTATGTGTAGGGAACATTCAGTCTTACTTGAAATGGCTCCACATTTGTACTGCAGAGGTTTCTTTTCTCTCAGCCTGAGAGGCCATGCAGGTTTGTACTGCTGCAGTCTTACACAGAGGTGCATAAATTACAAATCTGGACAAAAGAATACAGAATAACTCAAATGGTTTTGGAGATAAAGGTATACCCCAGTGGCACTTACTGTGATTTAGATGTAACGTGTTGAAATGACTATGACTGAGTTATTTGCTATTCTATTAGCTGCAGTTTTGCCTAATTTCATACAAAGTATCTTAATTCTTATTTGGCTCAGTCTGGGATGTTTCTGTAAAAAAATCTGATTAAGTTTTATAATTTAATTTCTCTGCCTTATTTTGCTACTTGTGTTCCTTAAATCAATATTTTTATATTGATTTATGGAACACAGCTGTCATAATTTTACATTATTTTTCTTAAGTAATGTATTATTCAGCTTTGAAAGTAAAGGGTTAGGTAGTTAAAACCTTAACATTGTGAAATGTTTTGGCTACCTGTCCGTGATTTATACGCTAAGGTTAAAGGTCGACTGTTTTGTTTATGACTGGTAGTGCGAAAGTTGTTTCACATCGCCTGCTTGAAGTGGTCAAACTATGACATGAAGCTGATTTTTAGACCCCGTCAAAGTGACTCTGTTTGAAATGGACCCCATATGGAAACAATCTCCAGCCTACATTAGCACTGTCCAGATTGGTTAACCCAATGGATACCATTGCTGCCTTGGAGGGCTACACCACAACCTAGCTGATGAATGACTGCTCCATGTGAAATCACCCGACCTGAAGTAAGGTTATAGCACTTTAGCTCGCCCTCCATTAAAATAAACACGAGAGAAACACAGTTTAACAACACAAACATCGCTGCTGAGTGAACTGTTGGATTTGATCAGTGTTTGAGATTTATGTGGTTGAGTTCAGCTGAAACCATTTCCTTGGTTAAAGTCAAAATAGTACAAAGTGTCAGCAGTACCTCTGCCATGTAGTCATCTGGGAGACTTTTGAAACATTGTGGGGGAGCCCAGTAACCTCACATTCATCTTCAGGGAGAAACGTTAAAGACCTCCACGGCATCGTATAAATCTTGCTGTGCAGCCTGAGCCTGTGGAATGGAACATGAAGAATTGAGTTATGAATCATCCAAACGGAGGTTTTATGAATCACAAATGTTACAGTACGGCAAGACATACAGTAGAAATAAGACAGTGTTGTGACAGAAGAATGGAGAGCAAAACCACTTTATCAGCAGACTCTCCGGTTCTCTGCTCTCTCCACTGGCTCCCAGTTGCCTTTAGGATTGATTTTAAAATCTTATTGCTGGCTTTTAAGGTTTTAAATGGCACTGCACCTTCTTACCTGTCAGAACTCCTTAGAACTTATCGCCCCAGGAGATCTTTGAGGTCAGCCGACCTGATGCTTTTAGATGTTCCCAGGTATAAATTAAAGACAAAGGGAGAGAGGGCGTTTGCTGTGGCTGCACCCAGACTGTGGAACAGTTTACCTCCTCACGTCAGACTCTCCAAAAGCCTAGAAACTTTTAAAACCGCTCTTAAAACTCACCTCTTTTCATTGGCTTTTAGAAAGGTTTAATTTATTTGTTTTATATATTTTTATTTTATTTTTATCAGCGAGGTGTTATTACAAAATTGTGTTCTATTGTATTTTTATCTGTATTTACTGTACAGCACTTTGGTCAGCCTTGGTTGTTTTTAAATGTGCTCTATAAATAAACTTGACTTGACTTGACTTGACTAAAACTAGCTTTGCTGTGAGGTTAAAGTTCCGGCAGTCGTACGACTGCAGTAACACAAGTGAACCACCAGCCATGGCTAATGTTTCTGAAACTCATTGATTTAAGCGTTCTTTGTGAATACACTTAAAAGATCTGCAGTGGATTCAGCATTATGAGGTCCCATATTGTCTATTTCATCTTTTACTGTTTGAGTGAAAAGGCCAATCGCACTGTTCGGGTTAAAAATTTACTGCATGGTTAAGATCTACAGAAAAACAACCGTAAAAACTGAACAGGGAAAATTCCTTCAATTTAAACCCTGCACAGTTTTGTTTTATTAACCTGTCCAGTCCAGCAGGAGCAAGGAGACTTTTGGTCTGAATGCTTTGTTGTGCCAAACATATTTTGCTTTCCCAAGAGGAGCACCGTAGACTATCTGTAGGCTCCTGTTATTGTTTTTGTTTTATTTATTTACTTAATTTTATTATTTAGATTATTGTCCTGTGGATGTTATCCTGATGGAGACAGGGGTTAAAGGTCAGAATGGTGAAAGATAAGAGAAGAAAGCAGGGGAGAAAAAAAAGAGAAAAGAAGGGGGGGCTAAACAGAGGAAGGTACACCAACAAATATACAGTTTTGCTGTGTTTGTTTCTCTCTCTCTCTCTGTGTTAGCGTTTAGCATAGAGTGTACTTGAAAAATGAGGGTGAGAGTTTGCAATAATGCCATCCCCCCCAAGAGCCAGCGGCAGACATCGAAAGACCCAGGAGACCCCGGCCATCCACGGCAGCCGAGAGCTAAAGATCTGAGGCCAAGTATCCCGATGACAACCAAGTGTCCACCCTGGCCGTGAGAAGAGGGAGGCCCCGGACGGAGCTCTAACAGCCAAGGGAAGGGGTGTCAGGAGACCAGAGGCAGCGGGCAGCTGACCCTGCTAGAGGCCAGCCACCCCAGATCTCTGAGAACCGCCCGAAACCCGGCAGAGCCCCCACCACATGATGAAGAAGCCTAAGCCAACCCCAAGAGAGCAGGCCAGAGCACAAACTTAAGCAGACATTTCAAAGAAACTGTAATAAGTCATTTTTTTTTATTTGTTAATATGGTGTGTGGTAATTTTAGTGCTGTTTACTGTGCCCAAATTTGATGATGTCAAGTACAGACGCTAGCAGTAGTACATGTCTGCCACTGCAGTCTTATAGGGTTGCTGATGTGGTTGTCAGATTTTTGTATTTCTTCCTAACAGAAAACTACAGCACATATTTTGAGGTTGAATGACTGTTTCCTGGAGGTGTTTTATGGACGTCTAGTTGTGGTTGAGAAATAGCTCCAAAAAAAGTTTGTGTTGAGGAATTAGACGTTTATTGATAAGAATCAAATGAAATCAGTAAAAACATCAAAAGACTCTGCGCTCCAGGGGCGATCAAACCCCAGACCTCCCACTCTGGATCAAAAACTTGTATTATACATGGAAACAATATGCATCCATTTACAGTTCAGTTCCTAACAACAACAACAACAACAACAACAATCTTTATTTATAGAGCACATTTAAAAGCCTTGGGCATACCAAAGTGCTTTACATAAAACAATAAAAGGTTCAAACATTGATAACGGATAAATAAAAATAACGAGTTATGTTCATAGATAAAAGCTACCAATAAGAATGACTACAGCACATGGGTAATAGCAAGATAAAAGCTGTACCACCATAATAAAAGACACCAATAGAAAGATAGGAGGGAATTAATACAAGAGGTCAATAGGTCACAGCAACCAAACAAACAAACAAACAAACAAACAAACAAACAAACCAGCAATTAAAAGGTGGAGAAGGCAAGTTTAAAAAGATATCATCATACAGAACCACCCAAGAGATAACGTTGCTCTTTCAGCCCTGTTTGCGG